TCAATTAATCTGACATACGGCGGCGGTAGAGTCGGCCACTGCTATGTTGTACTAAAATTGGGAGCAAAACGTATGTCACCCATATATATAGGTATACACATAATATATATTCATATATATTTATTCAATACCGTCGTCAATTGCTAAATATGATTTGTTATCGGTACGTTCATCACCGGAGAATAAGTTATAAATAAATTGAAACACAAATTCTTTTAGTGTTGATCACATTCAAACTCACGACTTTCTAGGTTTAGAATCACTGAGCCACAGCGGTCCAACAAAAAGATATGTCAGGCACTTAGTTTATTACCTGATAAAACTTAAATTCTATCCAGAAAGCTTTTACACCCACGTAGCTACGTGTTCGATGAAAAGCATTCGTTATGGAAACAACGCTAGACTTCCACAAATATCTAAAAATATCGGGATCATAACAATAAACGATGAGCTGTTAGTGAAACAATAGTCTCCCCAAGGAAAAACCTTTATATACTTATTTTAAACTTTCACATTGAGTATAAATTTTTAATATAGTAACGGGTTTTAACACGAATAATTTTAATATCATAAAGGTAATTTCTCTCTACGTTTCAACTAGGTTCAACTAGTCAGGTCTGACTAGGTCATGACTTGGCTGGATTAAGAGCGAAAGTCAATGTCGATAGGTTTGACGAAAAATCGTGACCCGAACAACCTAGTCGAAACGTCAAGAGAGGTAGATACCTTTGTAGCACGGTGGTTAGTACCTCACGCAGCGTTATATATGATGTGATGAGGTGTCGCTTCATAATTGATTATTTATTGTAGTTTGTAGGTAGTGAGAATACTGGTGAAATAACTGTACTGTTTATTGTACATTAGTAAATTTATTAGATAGTGCGACTTATTAGTAACTCGTTCATTCGATGCGGTTGAGACGTAGACTGATTTTACACTCAAATTTATTTTTTGTGAAGACAAACTAATGGATGGGTCTCAGGTGTTAATAGAAATATTACAAGTGTAGGCATACCTTTATTTACCATAAAAGTATTCGTGTTAAAATTTGTTTAACTATATTAATAACCTTAATATATAGCACACTAGCTACCGTGGCTTCGCACGGGTGTACATTATACAAATAAACCTTCCTCTTGAATCACTCTATCTATTAAAAAAACCGCTTCAAAATCCGTTGCGTAGTTTTAAAGATTTAAGCATACATAGGAACGGACAACTTTCCACCAACCCATGGCCATTCCAACCTCTCGGTTATACTGGCGTTTTCATTCATACACGCATTCTCTTGACCCCTACAAATTATTTCTACTCTTGTCCCTTCTATCGCACTCTTCCCCTTCTGGGGCAGCGGACGAAACTATGACGGCTTCGGTGCCGGGCAGCACTTCGTCTTCAGCAGCATCCTTCCCTCTTGAACGCGTACCACCGTCAGTCCTCTCGTACTCGCTCGGCCTCCGGTGCCACTGATGCGCGAACTCCCGCATCCTCCTAAAATTCTCCTCCGAAGACACCAAGTCCGGGTAGTACACCGGACCCTCTGCTTCGCCTTCACCGTGACGTATCCCCTCCAGCAGCTTCCCCCTAAGGTCGGAATACAGCAAACACTGGGAGTGTGGTGGAGGTCCTCTTTCGAAACATAGGGACGGACAAACAGCAACAGCGACTTTGTTTTATACTACAGGGTGGCCCAGAAGAAGTCGCTTTACATTTTGAATATTAAATAACTTTCTTTCTATTAATATATTTCTTTTACTCTTTTCAGAATACTCTTTCACGTGTACGTACTGAAAGACCTCGTCCACTTCTAGTCCTATCACTTACAGAGCCATGCTGTTGAAAACGCTTCACTATTGCAGCCCTACTAGGGGGATGTCGAACATTAAAATGGCGCATATACGATATTTGCGTTGCAACAATTGACCATCCATTTTCAAAGTAAAATTCAATTATCTTCACTCGTTGTTCTGTTGTAAACTTATCCATGATAAAAATTTCCAGGGATTATATTTTTTAATTCTGAAAAGAAAAAAAGAAATATATTAATAGAAAAAAAGTTATTTAATTTTCAAAATGTAAAGTGACTTCTGGGCCATAAAAAGAAGTTTGCATGGGTATATCAGTCCTACCTATTTCAGACGCCAAGGATCTTTTTTAATCTGTATTTCGGTTGTAGAGTGCAACAGCAGTGAAGTTACAGAATAAGAGGCATGACATTTAGTCCACTGCAATGGCTATGCATGAGTGGTATCACGTATCACATGATAACGTGATGGCGTAGTTGTGTTCACATATATAGGCGATTGTTACCAAAAAAAAATTAATGACTAAAAATATGTCGAATTTTTGTTTGACGACATAAAAAATCTATATTTTAGAGGCATGACATTTAGGCCACTACAATGGCTATGCATGAGTGGTATCACGTATCACATGATAACGTGATGGCGTAGTTGTGTTCAAATATATAGGCGATTGTTACCAAAAAAAAATTAATGAGTAAAAATATATCGAATTTTTGTTTGACGACACAAAAATCTATATTTTAATAGAAAAATCGATTTGTTACTAAATATATGCTTAGATAAATCAGAAGACAAATAAGTTTTCAGTTTTGAGAGTCGAAAGGCATATGAATTTATAAAACCAGTTTGGAACTCATGATATATTATTATAGCCTTCAATATTTCTTCAAAGGGCAAGTGGCTCAAGTTATAATAACATTACTCTTTGCTCGGTTAGGTAAAACGATGTTACAAAGTTGGGACTTTGAAATATTAAACGCCTGGAAAGAATACACACGTCTGAAGAGCACAGGTAAGAATATGCTTAAGATCTCTCTGTCCCAATATCTAGTATTCCCTCCGATCGATCCTTCAATTCAAACGGTTATCGAAGTTCGAACCTACTAGCGGTGCTCAGACTAAAGCCAGCACAGTCAGACAGGAGTTTGCCTCAAGCTACATAAGTCATTCCGGTTTGGAGTGCTATCTGCACTAGTCCCTTATCACTCGGTGAAGGTGTAAATGCCAACTGCGGCCAACAGCATTAGTATAGTTCGAAAAAATAATCTCTAGTACCTATTGTAATGCATTATTTTTACTATAACTAAAATGTTGAACAATGGGTCGAGTAAGTCGCTGCTCAATGGTTTGGTGTCGGACTGGCAAGAGGACTATATTTTCCACAACAACATTAATAAGTTTATAGAGTATTGTTTGCTGTTTTTTTATGTAATTACGTTTGTTATTTGTTCTATTATTGGCTCACTACACGCTTTGAGATGAAAGTTTGTAGGTGTGGTGAGCAACTAATTATTCTATTTTAAACCTAAGGACATGACCTCTCAATTTCCAAAAATACTCTGTTTCCAAATAGTTCGCTTATTCAAATTCCATAAATATACAATACAATACTACTTCCCCCCCCCCCCTCCTCCGATCGATCCCCCGTCCAATACAAACGGGGTTCGAAATTACGACGGCCTGAGCCGAAGTTCGAACCCCTAGTGATGCCCTCAGACTAAAGTCGTATCCGTCAGGCAGGAGTTGGCCTTCAGCCGCTCCATAAGTCCTTCCGCGGGTTTGGAGTGCCATCTGCACTCGCCCCTAACGTCCGGTGAAGCTGTAAAGGCCTGCTACAGTCAACAGCATTAGAGTAGTCCGAAAAAAAAAATTACAATACTAGCGATCTATATTTGGAGGAAGGGAATTGTTAGTAATGTGGACTAATAACCCCATAGCTAGCAATGTACCATGTCTTGACTATCTGCTTCCCCCTGGAAACCATTGTTATCACAATTCCTGGTGAATTTACCACGATGGGCTAACTGACCTAACTTCAAGCTCATCTTATCATCCTTCACTGGTGTCCCGCCAGCGTAAACCGTTAGCGCAGACGGGTGGATCACTCCATTATCATCCATTAAAAAAATTAGAGATCTACATTGTCTTCGCACATATGTTACGGAGGTCTTATTACTATGCGTGTATTAGAAAAAATAAGCAGTGTGCACAAACGAGTTTACTACATGGCTCAATTACTAAGATCGCGCGATAACTCCATTGTCGTAGTTACGACGTAACAAGAAGAATAACAGCCTTGTCATTCGGTACCGAATCCTCTAGTTAGTATGCCTTTCATGTATATACTAGCTGTGCCCGCGACAGGCGACTTTGTTCGCATGATTATCAAAAACACTATCGCGATTATCTTTTTAATTTCGACCAAAGTTTATCATAAAAAGGTTATAGTGAGTCAATCTTAAAAGATTGACATATACTGCAGACATTTAAAGAGGAATAATTCTTTCATACGTATTTTTTGGGTAATTTGACCCGTTTACGAAGCGCACGCAACGTAAGCCCTCAACTATGAATAATTTTCCCGATGCTTCGAGTCTATTGGTCGTAGCATAATGTTATATAGCTTAAAGCCTTCCTAGACAATTGGACTATCCAACACAAAAAGAATTTTTGAATTCGAACCAGTAGCTCCTGAGATAAGTGCGTTTAAACAAACAAACTCTTCAGCTTTATAATATTACTAGCTACTCGCCCCGGCTTTGCCCGGGTGTACATGTATTATATATATAAACCTTCCTCTTGAATCACTCTATCTACTAAAATGACGTATGACGTAGGCATCCGCTAAGAAAGGATTTTGATTAATTCCACCCCTAAGGGGATAAATTAACGCGAGTGAAGCCGCGGGCAAAAGCTAATACATATATAAACCTTCCTCTTGAATCACTAAAAAAACCGCTTCAAAATCCGTTGCGTAGTTTTAAAGATTTAAGCATACATATGGACGGAGAGACAACGGTAGTGAATTTATTTTATACTATGTAATAATGATAATATAGTATACATAGATATAATATCTGTAAATACCTCTATAATATAAATATGTACATAGCCACAACCTGTTTCCTCTGTTGACCTCCCTCTTCCTAGTGCTGCTGCTATTGTAAAAAATACGATACGAATCAGCTACTAATATTATTTATTGATATATATGTATATACAATGGCTATATTCAAGGGTCAAGCGGTGCGTAGGACAGGCCAATATTCTTCAGTTCGCAGTCCTCCTGAAGGAAATCTTTCAGGAGCAACTTTTTTAGGGCGGTGCGTCGAACCTGGAATTTATAGCGCAGTTTATTATTCGTATCAACACATCCAGTTTCAAAGGGTGGAACCAATCTCATCTACAAGTCTTATACAGCTCTCTGGAGAAAACGTCTACTCTGCGCGTAATCCGCTATTTTCCTATGATGAAGGAATTCGTGATTTTCTGGAAATGTACTAAATATAGAAATGAAATGAACATTTTTGCAAATATTAATCTAGAGTCTGATTGAAAATATGAAGAACGTTTTATGGTAATGTTTATTTTGTAATACTTTTTTTTTCTATTGGTATATGTTAAAGGCCGAGACCTTGCTGCTTTGACTGCTTTAATGAAAATTATATTTTAAATAATTCTTTGGTATCTAGTAATTGGTATACTGCCACAATATATGTTTAGGGTCTCGGTGGTCTAGTGGTTGTAGTTCAGCGCTTTAGATCCGATGGTCGTGGGTTAAGAGTCTTTGTACGGTATAAACATTCATGAGTGTTAATCACAAAGGTTAATTGCACTATCTTATCTTAATCTTAATATAATATTATAAACGCAAAAGTTTGTGAGTATGGATGTTTGTTACTCTTTCACGCAAAAACTACTGAACGGAGTTTGATGAAACTTTACAGTAATATAGTTTATGGATTAGAATAACACATAAGCGATATTTATTGAAATTGACATACTGAAATTTAACACGGGTGAATATGTGGGCACAGCTAGTAATATTATAAACGTGAAAGTTTGTGAGTATGGATGTTTGTTACTCTTTCACGCAAAAACTACTGAACGGATTTTGACGAAACTTTAAATTAATCTAGTTTAGGTATACATCTGAATAACACATAGGCTATAAACTTCATGCGGATAAAACCGCGGGCACAGCTAGTTCAAAATAAATGTACAATTGGCGAACTTAATTCTATATGGCATTCTCTAATAGCTAACCAATTGTATGTATGTATTTACAATAAAAAAATCTAAGTATTTATGTCAGTTTCCTAGTACACATAAAAAAACCTCAGCTTACCGTAGGAATAGATGGCGCTGTATATTGTGTTTATAAAAAATGTATATGTATTTGTATCAGTTGTTTAGTACCCATAAAACAAGCTTAGCTTGGGACTAGATGGCGCTGTGTTAATTGTCCAGGATCGTCATTATTATTATACTATATACTACCTACAACTTCGTCTGCTTTTTATAAGATTAAAGATATTATGTGCATCTTCGTAATAAAATCGATTATCGCGTCAAACATTAAGATTCATTCAGCCTTTTTGTAATGATGACTGAATGCGAGGTCTAACAAATAATTTTCATCCTCGTAATTACTCCATTCACAGCAAATCATTTTCATTCCATTACATAATTTCACAATGGTTTTATAATGATTACGTATTTGAAAGCTTTTCGTATGAAATATTAAAATATAAATGCGACTTTTCAAGATACGATTGTAGCCCGCCCTTGTATTAAAATGTCACTTTAAGCAAAATTTCATTACGATCTGTTCAGCCGTTCAGTGCAAATGGTAACAAACACACATTGTCTCGTAGTGGACACAATATAATTTGTCAATAACAAACTCTGATGAACAGTTTAACAACACATTTAATTTCTCCTCTTAGTTTTTACAAAGATTAAATTTGGAATAGTAACTAGCCATGTAACAATTAGAAGCAGTGATAAGAAAGCAATGATAACATAATCATATCGATTAATCCGAAAGTATACAAAATAATAATAAAAATCAAAACGCCTGTTCATTGCAATTAGCAAAAACTACTGTTGCTGTGTTGGCTTTAACGCATCCTTTTGATTTTACAATTAGCACAGATAACATAATATTACATACTATTAGGAAGGATTACATCCGAGTTGGCTGCGTTCGATGAAAATTAAAATATTTATCATATCAAACTATATCAATAAAAGTTTATCTATACATATAAATAAAATTGTGAGTGTCTGTTTGTAATATTGAAATAACAGTTTTTTCTACATGCATATGAATATAAATACGGTACATAGACCAATATATCATAGTTTTACAATTTTTGTACAGCAATTTTTTACAGACAGGTGTCTGTTTGTTCCGCTTATCTCTGAGCGATTTTGACGGGACCTTTATTGGCAGGTACCTGATAGAATAAGGAGTAACTTAGGCTACCTGTATTTTAGAAAAAATCTTTTAAATTACATGCGGACTAAGTCACGTGTCCTGCTAGTATAATATTAATATTAATATATAATGTAAATATTACTGTCAGCGCCACACTACATCAGGCGTCTGAGCGCAACCGATGGCGACAGCTGATCGACAAGATAGTGTAGAGTCACAATCCCTAGCAGTGAGGGTACGATTAAAAAAAGTATCAATAAATGTTACGAACTAATAAATCAACTAAAAATGTCTATATGTTTAATTTAATGTGATCGAAGTGGGAACGAGAGGTATACCAGCGAAATCTCTCTATACTAAGTGTTAACGTTAGTCGGCAAGAAGCTCTTTAAACCTACACGGGTCACAAGTCCCGGGACCCGATTTTCCTTCTCTGCCACACGATGGACCCTGCACCTGCACCATGAACACATAGAATGCTAAGAAATTCTCTCGCGCACACTATACGTTACATATTTTAAAATGTACCCAATATATTAACGACCATACTCAGAATTATTCCTTACATAACCGCTAGTTAATGCTTAATTAACTATCATTAAATTTGTTATTGAGTCGTTCCTTCCAGCGTCAAAATGTAATCATTAATTAGCTAATGACAAATTTAATGGAAGGACATGGTAATCATGCTATTTCGTTATTAATTTGGAAACACATCATATGAAGTTTAATTTATGCAGACATTTGTAAACTTGCAGTAAGAAATTCCTTGTGACCATTAGCCGTCTCAGAGTGGAGCGTTATTATACAAAAGTTAAAAAAAAATAGGCCAGCTGCGGCCAACCGTATTAGAGTAGTCCGAACAATTTCCAAATTATGCAAAGCTTGTAGTTACGGATACTGGACCACTGATATAAATATTTAGATTTTTTTTGTAAATAAACACACAATATACACATAACATTAGAAACAATCATACTCATGAATACAAATATTTGTACTATGCAACGAATCGAACCAGGGACAGTCGGAAACAAACCGGCGTGCTAAACCACATGACCACAGAGGACGGCAACAACGACTTCTTACAAAGTGTCTCGTCATAAATACAGACAATGGAATTATTATTATACTAGCTAGCCCGCGCTACTTCATCTGCATCAAACTTACACGACATGTATCATTACATTTCGCCCAATTTACATTCTGATGTATAAGCTATATTATTGCAAAGTTTCATTAAAAACCGTTCAGTAGTTTTTGCGTGAAAGAGTAACAAACATCCATACTCACAACTTTCACATTTATAATATTCCTATTAAGATTATTATAATTTCATAATTGTTTGTTATAAGTAGACAATAAACATCATTCTGTTCTTTCTTTCATCCGTTAAAATATTTGCCAATCCAATTACATGAAAAAGAACCTCTGAAAAATAATTTATCACACAAAAATATCCATAACAGATATTTCTCCTCGCCTATTAAATATTTTATTTAAAAAAATGGTACGTAATTGGTGTTTGTTTTCTCAGATTACTTTATTTATCGTTCAATTTCTGTTTGTTTTATTTATTTAGCTAGTAGCTGTAATCCGCGACTCGTCCGCATGGAATGAAATAAAATCTCTAATATAAAAGCAGCCTAAGTTAGTTATTCTTTATGCGCTCCACAACGGCGCCCCTCCCATCGATCCCCCGTCCAATTCAAACAGGGAATCGATGTTACGACAGCCTGAGCCGAAGTTCGAACCCCTAGCGGTGCCCTCAGACTACTACCCTAAAGTCGTATCCGTCAGGCGGGAGTTGGTCTTCAGCCACTCCATAAGTCCTTCCGCGGGTTTGGAGTGCCATCTGCACTCGCCTCCTATCGTCCTATGAAGCCGTAAAGACCAGCTGCGGCCAACAGCATTAGAGTAGTCCGAAAAAAATATATATTCTTTATAACTTAAGTATAAGTTGTCTAGTAGCCATTACGGAAGCTCTACTTAGCTTTTGACTAGATGGCGCTGTGTGAATTGTACTGAAGAAAAACTAACTTAGCTATCTGCAAGATAAAGTCCGGTTAAAATCGGTTCAAACATTTCAGAGATTAGCGAGAACAAACGGACAGGTAGACAAAATGTTTGAAATTAATTTTTTAATGAAGTGCTAGTAGAGACGCACGCACGTCCGTTCCGTTCGCCAGCTGCTCCTATAATGCCTTTTTAACCGATTCCCTATTCATTTACCGCCATCTTGAGTCCCACTACTCTCGAAAAACCGTATGATAACAGTACCGTGCATTTAGTGATAAGTTAATTTGAAGTTACAAACAGACAAATCTATTTATATGTATAGATAAAATACACAACGATATTAGTTAGTGATCGCGTGGGATTTAAAAATTCCGTAACATTGATCACGAATGTAGATGTGATTACGTACGGTACATTTCACATTTTTGCTTTCATGTGTCGCAAGCTTTTGATTGCAAACGATCTTGTTTGTATGTGTATACATACATACATACAATCTGTCATTGACGTAATATACACACCGTTTGAACAGATTTAAGCAATTAATCTGATTAATTTGTTTAATCTTTTAATAAACTGAATAATTTTATTTATTTTTTGTATTTGGAATGTTGATAAAATAGAGATATCTCTGGACAAATACTGCGCCATCCAGTCCCACGGTAAGCGGGATATAAGCGGATATAAATACTTAGAATTTTTTGTAAATACATACACAATATTAATTTATTCATTTGCATTCCATAGTGTTACAATAATGGTTGACATAATATTATTATAAGAGCACTAGGGAGCAGTAGCAGAGCAGTAGCTTGCTGCGCCCATCCCTGATGGGACAAAGAGATACAGTGGGGTTAACAGATTCTAATTAT